CTCAGTGTCCGGGAACGCCGTGGTGTCTGCTCCAGCCGGGCAGGAGCTGGGACCTGGGTTCTGGGGAGCTTTGAGCAAGCCCAGGGAAGCGGCAAGTACAGACTAGAGAGCTCTAGTAGGGAAAAACCAGAGGAAAAACTTTATAGAGATTTCCCTCTTGTCTGTCCTTGCTGATGTGGCAGCGAGGCAGGGCACCGTTCATGAGAGTAGAGCTCTGGCTTTGCAAAATAAGTTGATCTGAGAAACTGAAGTTCSTATCTGGGTGTAAATCTCTGGCTGATATATCAGAGGAACACAAAGGTGGCCAGTGTAGCCAGGCAAAGTGCCCTTTGAGTGAGGAGAGGGTGAGAACCTGCTGTGCTCAGGAGCAGGTTTTGCAAAGCATGTAAAAAAATGGGTACTGCCTGTGGAGCAGATCTTCTGGTGTTATTTACTTGCACCCTCTCACAAAGTGGTGGGCAGCCTGCCCACAGTGTAGCAGGCTTCACTTAAATGGTAGAGGGATGCAAAAATGTGGAATCTGTTCCCTTGCATTGTGGTAGGTAGCGGGAAAGGGACACATGCTTTTGATGCTGTGTCCCCATTTGATCTGCAGAGCAGTTTTGGGTTCAGTGTGAGGCTGTGCTCTGTGTGCTGGAGAACTTCTATTATGCTGAAATGTGTGTTGGGGAGAGGAGGGCTCTTGCATAACGAGAATGACTAGGCACAGCTGCGCTCAGAGCCAGAACTTGCCTCCTTAGTTGTGCTTTAGATAAATGTGACAACCTATAGATCTCTCTTGTGCACACAAACTCCTTGGGAATGTGTGTGCATTTCAAAGGGAGATAACAAAAGATTGTCTGAGGCACAGAGACGCTGTCCTGTCTGTTTCTTTTTCTATTGCATTCCTGCTCACAGGCTTTGGAGTGTAGCAGACAGAGGAGATCTTTCAATTCAAGGCAAAGAGAATTCTTTTTTTTCCCTCCTCCTGGAGGGCCTCGTAAAACTTCGGTGTGGACAGATGTGTGTGAAGGCAATTGGGGGTTTAAGGGTAAAATTTATGTTGAATTTTATTTTCTAAATATCATTTGTTTGGAACTTGAATCTTAAGTAAGGTTTAAGTGTAAACCCACCCCACACTAACAGTAAATATCTATCCCTCTTCACAGAGTCTTCTGATGAAGATTGATGCTTTCCATTATGTCCAGCTAGGGACAGCATATAGGTCTGTCTGTTTTGAAAKTCATTTTCTAAATACACAAAGGTGGACTACCTGATTCGAATATAGGCTTGTGATTAAAAATAATAATAAATAATAAAGACAGAAGCAGAGTGCAATCTTGTCTGGCTCATCCAGTTTCCACTTGCTTCAAGTGCTTACCTTACCTGTAATTGCAGTTACTTTTCTCAAGCACTGTGAGCCAAGTGTGGGTGGAAAGACCTGGAGCTCTTTGTAATGGTTAAGGACACATCCAGTCACGTACTCTGCTTGGTGTCAGACCTGCAGCTGTGGCACACCTGGGTTAATATCTCTAATTAAAGCATGCAGATGGGGGAGAGCTCCTCCGTATGAGCTCTGCACTTGAGCTTGGCTTCCCAAGGCAGCAGCGTGTCCCAGCCACAGTCCTCTGCTGTGTCACGAAGCTAAGAGGAAAGTGGTCTCCACATGCAAGCAGAAGCTTAAAGAAGTGCAGATGTGTCAATAAAGCAATGACATGTCAGAGTCTGGGCTTCGTTTAAGGCCTGGCTCTATTTTTGCTCTATTTTTCTTCTCTTTTGTTAGTCTCCAAGCAGAACTGGGTGTGGGTTGGAATTACTGGCTGAAGCAGTGCAGAGCAAAGGGAATGTTTCCACAGACCATGTCCAAAATGCTGAGAGGCCGGACAGTGGAGAGCACCCTGCCCATGCAGTGTGGACTTGGTGCACAAGAAGCAGTGATTCATACAGATCTGTAGCAAAGCTCCCAAGAAATACTGTCTTCTATTTCCTGAGCGTGAAAGCCAGTTTTTCTCCTTGAATTCTTTGCTGTCAAGCTTCAGCTACAGAAAACACCCAAAGAATATTAAAAAGGGAGTTTCATAATCAGAGGGAATTGGCTTATTTGAGCGGTGTTTTTTTTTATGATTCTCTGGTGCTGCAACATATTTCAGTGCAGCTTCATAAAGAGATTTTTAGGGAAACCTCATTTAAACTTTTAAGAAAAAGGTTTCCTTYTTAAGTGATCTTCCTGAAAGATCGTTTTTCTGAATTGCCCTTTGCTTTCAAGCAAAACCTAAGCAACTTTTAACTTCTCAGAGTCTGTACCTCGACAGAATAACTAGGGAGAACAGTTTGCCACATCAGAATATTGTGTAAGAGGGAAAATGGGCAGCTTTTAACAAATCTAGTTTCATGAATGCTGTAGCTGGTAGCCAGACTCTGGTTACTTCTTTTAGACAAAAATGGTTATCCRTGTTGAATAATCTCTAAGCAAAGGATTTCTCATGCTTAGGAAAACTGAATGGGAAGAAAAGTTAGTTATTTACGTATGAGCAATCTTGAGAAAAGTTAGCTCCTTTCCTACACTGTTGCATTTAATATTAATGTAACTTGTGGAAGCAACCTTCCCCAACCTGTAGCTACCTGTACCACCAGAATCTCCTCGTGGGGCCTGTTTGGGGGACAGTCCTGTTGAGAGACCGATAGCTGCAGAGGGAAACCTCTGTGCTGAGCTCTGTGCAGGAATGTAGGTAAAGCCCCTCGATTAACTGGAAGGAACAAACAAAGTATCCGAAAAATGTCTTGGAAAAGATTTGATGTGAACCTTTAGACTGATAGCACTGAATCAGGCTCTATTGCTGTCTGAATTTTAGAGAGTCCTGTTCATCCTGTCTGCTCCTTCTCTGCGATTTCTAGCTCTGTATGGTCTGGTGATTATTAATATCCTATTTTTGTGTCTAGAGGGCTCAAACCAGTGCCTGATGAAGAGGTAATCGAACTGTATGGTGGTACTCAGCACATTCCCCTGTACCAGATGAGTGATTTCTATGGCAAGGTAACGTAACCCCTTTAATGCTATTATGCAGCATCTCCTTTACCAGCTGGGAAAACAAAGTGAACTGTATGAGCATGTAAATGACTTCCCTCCCATAGCACCTAGTGAACTGCCGCGGTGTTTTATGCTAGTGGGAATTTGCCCCAGAGGTTGTTTAGCAGTTTAGCATGTGAAAGCTGTCGCTGAACAAACAACAGGGCCATTGGCCTGGAGCTGAATGGCCCTGCAGCCTGACAGGGAGACGTCCCCTGCTTGCTGCTTGGCCAGGTCTAGCTGCTACGCTGGCAGCTCTGGTGCCAGCTCAGGGTGTTGTGGAGGAGGGTGCGTGCGCCTGTGTGTGTGTGTGTGTG